CCGCCCCCCCATGCACAGATCCAAGGACACATGCCCCCCATGCCCTCTCGGGGTGCGTGCTGTGGCAGAGCCACTCCCTCTCCCTGTGTCCCCTGGACAAGCCACTCACGGCTCCATCCCACACCCCACCCCAGCTGAGCAGCCCCTGCCCCTGCCCTTGCCCCTGCTGCACTCCCTCCCTCACTGCAGGGCCTCAATCCCACCCCCCCCTTAAAAACAAGAAAAAAATATTAAGGGGGTACTGAGGTGAAACTTTGAGACCAAAGAGGTATACTTGTTAAAAAAGGTTGAAAGCCCCTGGCTTAGGATAGATATCTTGCATTTGGAAACACACATTTTCATGTCAGGCTACTGAACAAAACAATAACTTTTATTTTTCCATTGTGTCATTGGAAGTTGCCTTGTACCTTTGATATAATTCATGTGCATGTGTACATTGTGTCTATCACACATTACCATAGCTTTTAAAAGGAGGAACTGAAGATTAGAATATTTTTTGATGAGTATATGTCTTAACCAGATCAAACAATTGGATAAAAAGATTCCTTTTTTTCCTCATCGAGGGGAGGGAAGGGGAGGCGAGGGTTGTTTGATAGCTGGGTTTTTCTTTATGGAAAAAGCAAATCAAAATAGTTTTAGTAAAACCTTTGTCTTTTGATACAGTTTTTGGGTAAAAAAAAAAAAAAGCGTCTTATTTAAAAATACTGAAAAATTAAATTTGGGGAGATTCAGTTTTTATTGGAAAATTATATAATTGTCACAGGAAATTATTTTCCTTGATATTTTGCAGTCATCTGTAATACAATCGTATAAAAAGCCCTCTGAAAGTATAGTGCTAATATTGGTAGTATCCAGTTCTCATATAGCATTTTTCAAAGGGTGTGGCCATTATCCTCATTTTCAGATGGGGAAACTGAGGCAAGGGGTGTGATTTCCTCAAGATCCCTCATCAGGTGAGTGGCAAAGCTGGGAATTAAATCCAGACTTCTAACACTAGGCCATGCTAAAGAACAGCAAATCCACTAGGCCAAGCCAACTTGAAGATACACACCATAAGACATGCAATTTAGTTATTTGCCTCTATAGCCACATGTATATTCTGGAAATCGGACAGACAGCTGTATGCTGTTAGAACGGTGATTCATATGTCTAAAGACCAGAAGGGATTACTGTGACAGTGCATCACGCAGGCCATACAGTTTCACTCAGTGGTCTCACGTACAGCCCATTACTTGTAGCTGTCCCAGGGCTGATGGTCTAGAAAAGCATTTATAATTTGGATGTAAAAATTTCAAGTGATGCTGTCTGCCAATCTCCATTGCCGCCACTGGACCTGGCCCTGCTGCCCAGGCACCCTGGCCCATCTAACCTGCACCCACTTCTGGAGGTGCCAGACAGAGCGGGCAGGGTTTCCATGAAGACTGACCCAGGACCCACATGGGCCAGGGCATGTGGCCATGCAGATAGGAAGGGGGTGCAGGCAGATGAGGAGCAGCATCCAGGAACAAGACAGGCAGCCATTCTCTGAACTCTCTCAAGCTTGTCCATGTCCTTGTTAAAGTGCAGTGTCCAGAACTGGACGCAGTACTCCAGCTGCGGTCACACCAGTGCTGAGTAGAGTGAAAGGATCACCTCCTTGGCTTTGCTGGAGATGCATCAATTGATGCATGCCACAGTATTATTTGCCCTACTGGCTACAGCATTGCACTAATGGCTCATGTTCATACTGTGGTCTATTATTACCCCCAGGTCCCTTTCATTCACAGTGCTGGTCAGGTCGGTGTTGCCACGCCTGTAGTTGTGCAGGGGATTGTTCACCTCCAGGTGGAGCACTTTAATGCTCACTATTAGGGCTGTGCTAAGCTTTGGGTGGTGATTTGATTCGGAAGAGATTCGGCCATTTCAGTGGCCGAATCTCCGAATCAAATCGGAACCAATTTAAAGGTCCAAATTCATTTAAAGCTCTCTAAATCTTCGGAAAAAATTCGGAGAGCTTTGATGATTTGGGCAGTCTCCAGTGGCTGCAGCAGGGAGCTGCACCCGCTCCAGAGCTGGTAAGTACTAGGGGTGGGAGAGGAGGTCTGGGGGAGGAGACCATGGAGGGGACCACTGCCAGCCCCCCCAGGCCCCGCAACCCCTCCCTCCCCCAGCCCCTCCATGGCTGCTCCCCACCTGCCCCAGCTCC